TGAAATTTGTCAATGATTAAGTTACTCAAAAATGTTTTTAAATCTTCAAGATTAATTTCTCTTAGTATCTAGTGCTAACTATATTTTAGCATCTTGCTATTTAGAATTCAGTTCTCAGAAAAAGTCTTCGGCTTCCCTGAGAGCTTGTTAAAAGTGAAGATGCTCACATCCCACGACAAAATTGATTGCTGAGCATCTCTATGGAAACATAATTCCTAAGTGATTTAAGTGGGTTGGGCCATAATTCCTGCTAAGTTTGAGCCTAGAATGTTTCCTAAAACACTATGTGTTAAAGACACAACCACAAGCCTGTGGCACTACTGGAAAACAAGCGAACTTTTAGGGGGTGGGGCCTAGTAGGGGGAAGTTAGGCCATTGGGGGTGTGCCCTTGTGCAGGATAAGGGGACCCTGACCTCTTCTCTGTCTCTCTGTCTCTCTCTCTTTCTCTGTCTCTCTCTGTCTCTCTCTTTCTCTCTCTCCTTCCTCCTCTCCCTCTCCCTCTCTCTCTTGATTCCTGGCTAGCATGAGGTAACAGCTTTGTCCTGCACTGAGTTCCCATCATGATGCACTACTTCAGGACAGGCTCAGAAACACTAGGTGTGTTAGTTGATATATTGTGTCAACTTGGCTGAATCAGCTGCGGCAGTTCTCAGCATGGGGGCCTAGCTCTGCAGGTGGGCAGGGTCCAGGAATTGAGAAAGGCTTCCTGCAGCCCTGCTGGACTTCCTGCCTCCTGCCGCCCTTCCCAGCTTGGGTGGAGAAGTCTCAGTCTTCTCTTCAAAGGAGCTTGGTCTTCGCAGCCGTGCCACTTTGGAGGAGCTCCGAACTTCACTGTGGAGCACCGATCTTCGCAGTCAGCGCAGAAGGAAGAGAGTGGCTTGATGGACGCAGCTGCAGCTGCTGCTCCTCCTCTACTCTTCATTATTTTCTGCTTCATGAACTGCTATTCTTTGCCTTGGAGCCAGTGGAATATGGACTGAACCCTCCAGTAACTGTGAGCTAAATAAACCTTTCCTTCCTTCATTTTGAGTGTCGGGTATTTGTCCCAGCAACGAGTAAAAAGTAACTAACACACCAGGTCAGTCAACCATGGAAGTCTCTAAAAATTGTGAGCTAAGAGAAACCCACCTTTCTTAAAAGTTGATTTTTCTCAAGTATTTGTTCAGTGATAGACATCTGACCAACTCAATCCTGAATTGTGTTGACATTCCCAAATGTCATATTCTCAAATGGTGAAAGCCCATGAGATTAAAATACCTACAGCCTAAAATCCCAAAAGATCAAAATCCAAAAAGGTTCTGGGGAAAAAATTACAAATTCTTTAAAAGATATGTTTTTACGTTCATAAATGGCACTTCCCTAAGAAACATAAAAATATGACAGAACATAGCACAGGCCACTTTGCACAATAAAATAACCAATAGTAGCATACATATCTTTGCAAGCAAAAACATTCAAATGTAGTAAGAACAGTCCTGTGGCTGTAATACATATGAACAGATGAAATATAACCATAAGAAAGTAGGTCAACACAAGCACCTGTAGCTGGGATATAGCTCAATGACAGAGCACTTGCTAGCACATAAGAGACTCTTTGTTCAGTCCCCAGAACTACAAAATAATAATAACAATAATAATAATAACAACAATAATAATAATTGTATTAGCTTTCTCATTGCTGAGACACAACATACGACGCAACTTAAATTGGCTCCTAATGTCCACGGGTTCAGGCCACTGTCAGCTAGCAGGAACATTGTGGCAAAAGGATGTTGCAAGATTCAGGGCATTTAGTCCACGGTTAACTGGCAAGAACAACAAGCAAAAGGTTATAGAAAAGTTGATGAGTTTATGATGCCCAGGAAGTGCCAGAAGAAGAGGCCAGGGACCACACCCCAAGGCCAGACATCTACGACCAGCCCAGGCACACCCAGAAGTGTGTCCACCAGTCCTCCAGCTGATCCCGAAGGCAGGCAAAGTGACAGGCAATAAAAATAATGAAGAAAACTGCCACAGCAGTCAGGGATAGAGCACTGTATTTGGTGCATTTGTTCTGTCGAGACTGGATGATGTCCATACACAATGAGGGCTGATCGTCCACTCCAACGCACATGTTATTCTCATAGACACTCTTAAATAGTGCTTCATCAGCTTCTACTTATCTGTCCCATCTACCATTGTGCGACTATTCTGCACATTCCCAAACCACACTAATTCCCTCACCACATTTCAATGGAGTGTTTTTGTGTGGGTTTTTGTTTTGCTTTGTTCTGTTTGCACCTCTTATAAAGTTTTTCCCCTCGTGCTGCCTGATGATTGCAATTTTCACAGTCTTAGCTTTCATGAGTTTCATATTTCAGATTTTAATCTGTTGAAATTGTGATACTTGAATTTTTAGACTTCATTGATTTTTGCTCCTTCGGGATTGCCTTTAGGATTTATGTAGCATTTCCATCATATTCATACACGCTTGACCAAGACTGTATGAATACTTCTTATTTATTTTGGCAGAAGAGAATTTTTTTTGGAAATGCATCTTCCAATGACAAAAGCACTCCCTTCCCCACCCAGTAGCCTCCTGCCACCAGCGCAGTTCCCAGTCACTCATTAACGCCCTCTGGTAGTGGTGTTTAACCTCAGACACAATAGGTGGAGCCTGGGGAGGTTCCTGGGGGACCCCAAAGCCAAGTGGACTTAGTGGCCTTTGAGGCTATCTGTGGACTTTGCCTAGGATGGGGCTCTGCTGGATCCTTCATGGAAGGAACTGTGCAGAGAGGTGAGAAAGTTCCTTGATGCAAACACTGGAAAGGTGGTAAGGACGGAGACCCCTTCAGCCAGATCTCAGATCTCTCTGTGATCAAGAAAACCAACAGAAAAGCACCCCTATGAGTTAATGCACCCACAGATGGCTATTACTTGTTGCTAGAATGTGATACTGTTCAGTGCCAATTACACATGTTCAGTTTCTGTTATAATGCACTAAGAAAACTCTTCCCAGATAGAAGGGGTGTGGTTTTTTCAGTGTCAGTCAATTCTTAGACCCCTTTAAGTTATATGCTGTGGAGGCTTGGATCTGGGTTGTCTCCCCCAAAGCTGTTATGCCATCAGAGGTGGGATTTTGGATGGGATCAGTGGTTAGGTCGTGGTGCTGCTGCATGCATGAGTGGATTCATCCACTGGTGAGTTCGCAGCTGAGTGTGCTCCCAGTGTGAAGATGCAAGTCACTGGAGGCACAACTGCATGGGTATATATACTCCCCCACAAGCTCCCCACTTCTTTCTCTGCTTCCTGACCACCATGATGTGAGCAGCTGTTCTCCCCCAGACCCTCCCATCTGCCTTAAATCTTGCTACCTACGTATGAAAATGTGAGCCAGAATAAATCTATCTTCCTCTAATCTGTTATCGATCCTCAAAATTTACTGCGTATGATCAGCTGATAAAATGAGTAAGGCAGGACCCACCTAGACATAAATTCCTTAAATAACAAATTGCTCAACTGTCTTTCAGGTGAAACCTACAGATTCTATTAATGACAGTAAAAATTAACTTTTCAAGAACGGACATGAGCCAGAGTGACCATTTGATCATTAGGTCAAATGATCATTGCACATCGTAAACTACTCAAAATCAAAGCACGGAGTATGTCATTACTACCCACCCAAAAAACACACAACTTGTAAAGCAGGATGATGACCATCTGGGCTGTGGGACATAACCATAAAACTGCCTCTTTCACCATCCAGACAAGCAGCCTTTCCCCTCTCTTTCTATAAACTTCCCCAAAAATCTACAAAAAGGCACCTCTGAAATTACAGCTCAGGGCCTCATTGCTGGCTGGCTATACCATACAGGTTTTCTTCTTGCAAAAATCCTGTGCCTAAATATTGGCTCTTGTGCACTTCAGATACCAAGCCTTTGCTTTGTATCGGTGACAGTTAGGTTTGGTTTTCAGATTTTGTGCAGAGACGTTGGAAACTGATTTGCAAGGAGATTCTTATGAAGACACTAGAGTAATTTAGTTTCTTATCTTGACAACAAAATGTTGGATGAGGCAGTTATGTTTTGGACAAAAATTATGAGGGAAAGGGATAAAAAGGGACAGGACAAGAAGAAAGAAGTATACTGAAAAAGTCAGCATGAATGGCTTATCAGAGCAATGTTTACCAAAAATACACTCATAATCTAAAAAGCAGAAAATGTAATCCCTTAAAATAATCCATTCCATGAAACCCACAGAAAAGCTTGCATTCTATTGTAGGGCCCAATCCCAGCAAGAGAAATGAAATAAACTCAGTGATTAAGTGATCCAGATGCAGGTGATCAGAGGTCACCAAGTTATGACTGGTTTCACCAAGGACACGGAACACTCCAGGTTCAAGTCCAGGACCCTGTGAATACAATCGGAGTTGCCACACCCATTCCTTGTTGTCTGTATATCTTTAATATAAAGGCAAAGCTTTTTTCTCTGGACCAAAGCCTTTAATCAGTGTCTCTTGAGGCCCCATTCCCTTCGAACTGTCGCTTGCTTTTTGCTTATCACGTGTGGCCTTCACTGGCTTTCAGATGTGTCCCCACCTAACACATCCTTTATTATTATTTTTCTTAATTCTTGGTTGAAGTTAGTGAGCTCTGTTCAGAAAGAACGGATCTGGCTCCACTCCAGAACAGAGAGCGCAGCGTCCTTCTCCTAAAAGGAATTTGCACAGAATGATGCTCTCTTTGGACTCATCCTGGAGTGACTAGGGGGCTATCTGACACCCAGAGCGACAGGACCAGAAAAGAAAACCGCCCACTCCGAGCTGGAGAAAGGACTCCGCCCACCAGACCTAGGGACTCCGCCCACCAGGCCTAGGGACTCCGCCCACCAGACCTATGCCCACACCAGTCACGCATGCGCAGAGCGACGGGACGTCGACGGAGGGAGGCGCTGGCGTGCGCACGCAGCAGCCGGGCGAATCAGGGGCGCGCGCCGGGTCCCACTTCCGGGATTCGTGCAGGCTGCGCGCGGGCACTCAGCGATGGCTCACAGGCCCCAGCGGACCTTCCGGCGGCGCCAGGTCGACTCCAGCGATAGCGATGGCGCAGAGGATCCGACGGCTGAGGCCGGGACGCAGAAGGAGCAGGCGGCCCCGGGCTCGCCGGAGCGAGGTCCGCC